AAAAAAAAATGTAAATTATTTATCAAAACATATAGGTAAGGTTAAGTAGAAGGTTATATTATTTCATTTTATTCAGACACAACATTCAACTATATTAAAGAAAATTGATCATATTGAAAGTGCAGTGAACAAAAACACTTTAAAGAGACACAATGATGGATCATTGAAGCATAATGCTGGTAGTTCTTTAAAACAACCAGTTTTAGAAGATTTTTTGAACAACAAAAAATTAACTAGTCAAAGTAAGAATGTCTAATGTTCATTTTTATTTTTTGTTTTACCTATTAAAAAGTTTTTAATTGCAGCATTAATAAAAGTAGTTGATATTTACATGACTACATGACTACATGACTATATACTGATACATTGCTAGTGAACGATACGGTTGTTAATGATTTAGAAGAAATCGACGCATTCAACTTGAACTTCTAAATGATGAAGACCATGATTTGCTATATACATTACCACAACACCATCGATGTTGTGCACACACAATAAATTTAATAGCAACAATGGTAATTAAACATTTATTTAAGATAGCTTAATATACCTAGTTAAATTATAAAATACTAAAAATATTTTTATCGAAAAGAATATATTTTGAGTAAGTATAGTGATCAGGACAAAACTATTTGGCAGTAGGTTTAACACTTAATACTCATAATCTAATTTGTATGAGTTGTAATACATTTAAAAATTAATTTTTCTGTCAATTTAAATGATAATTATATATGAAAAAAAATATTCTAAGATATAAGTATGAATATGATTAGTAATAACTATTTTCTATTTATCTATACCAAAATTTCAATTTTAAATTTCAATAAATTATGTTTGTTTAATTTTTATTATTAATTACATATTTGTGCAAATTAAATACAAAATAAAATAATTTATTTGTATAACTTGTTTTTTCTAGGACTCTAAAAAAGCACTGTCTAATCTTGCATACAAAAAACAGTCAAGAAGCACTTTTGCCAAGTCTACCGCTTTGTGGAACAAAGAAGGTCACTCAACTAAGTCACCTTATTTAGTTAAACAAAATCTTGGTGTTTATTTAATTACACCCAACGAGACACGTTGAAATTCACTGTTTGAAGCAACGGTGCTGCTTAATAAATTAATTAAAAATAATGAACTTAAGTTTAGAATAATAATGGACAATTTGGCTATTGGCAGGTAAATTGCAAATCTTAAAAAATTATTTATTATTTTATCTATATTTTTTATGAACAATATTTTCAGATTTAATAAAAGTGATATTTATTTCATGTGTCAATATCAAACAATTATGGGGCCAATTTCAATAAGCTTGGATTTATGTAAGAGGTTGATTGCATAATTTACCCACTTTCAAAAAAGTAAGGTTAGTTGAAAACTTCTTATACTATTAGTAGTAATATTACATAAACATTTGTACTTAGTTTTCAGGTATTTTTGAAGTACAACACTCCACTACCTAGCTGTGCATCAGTAAAGGGAGTGTTTAGTGTTGGGGATGCAACAATACAAAAAAAAGAACAAATATGACGGATCAATATTTTGAACAAATAATGTTCTTAAAATGCAACACTTAAATGTTTGATTAATATAATATATTATGAATGATTCAGAATTAAATTCAGAAAATTATTTCAAATACTTTACTATAGATAGTATTTCTGTGGTATTTTAAATACTTTATTTTCTAAGTATTTGAGTAATTACTCAAATTCTTTTTAAAAGTATTTTTTACAACACTGATCAGTATACATAAACCTAATCTTGTCCCCATATAGTGTCTCTGTGTCACATTATAGTAATAGTCATACATTTTGTCTTGGAAACATTGAGCACACAAAATCCTAAACAAAATATAGAAAATGTGTTAGTAAATGTTGAACATAAAAATGTTAAGTATATTTACCAATATAGATAGGTTTATCAAATTTAATAACCTTGTTCTCTTGATTGACTGCTTTAGGTTATCAGTAATCACTGTAATTGGTACAGCGTTTAAAAGTGGACTTATAAATTAACTTCTTGAATTTCTTTTTGAAGTCTATAAAATTAATATAGTATTTTGTGGTTTTCAGTTCAAATGGGTCTTCTGTTGTTCATTTTTATACCAATTTTTTAGAGCCATGCCAGCACATAAACAGTATTCTTGTGGATTTAGTTTTAGGAGACAAAATCCGGATAACATATATGATAAATGTTATTATTTGTATGAAGAAAAGTGTCAAGCTGAAGACTTTGCTTAAATATCATTAAAATATAATGTAGGTATCTGCTGTATAAAAATTAATACTGTTTTGTAATGGTGTTTAAGTTAATGTAATAGATGATGCTGATCCAGCACAGCTAAATAAAAAATCCAAGCACTGCAAGTACTTTTAAATTTAACAATGGCTAAAATGTAGAAATATTTTATTTATTGTTTATTTACATGCTTAGCTAAATAAAGGTGACAAAACAGATCAAAAGGTATAAGACAGGTATTAAACTTCTTAAAAAAATAAAAATATAAAAAAAAATTATAATTTCTACTTATTAACATACATTTACATTAGAGTCAATTACTGTTTTTGATAAAATAAAAATTGACTCGCGTCATAGTGTATCTAAAAATCTAAATGGCCTATACTCAGAGTGCCGTGTTCTGCATTGTATAGATTTAAACACTCCCAATAATATTCTGTTTCGGAATTTGAAATAAAAAATGTTTCGTGGAATCCAAAGAAGTCAAAAACTCGAAAACTGATGACAACATATTATATTATAATACCTATCATCTATGGCAAAAGCCGATCGTCGTCGCTCACCGGACACGATTAATACTTCTAATAATTTCATTGAACAAAAGAGAAATGTGTATGGCAACAATAAACATTTACTCACACATTACATTCTACCCAAGTAATTTTTATAAAAATCTCGATTTTTTCAATTCAGATTTAGATGAAGGAAGAAGTTCCTCGATATGGCATCTGCACTCAAGACATGGTGCCTCGCAGGTTATATATTACCCGAAGAGTCGATATATACGTAAGTTTGATTACTTATTCATTTGGGGCTTAAATATTTTACTTTTCAGTCTCAATATTAAAATTTGATTTGCTACCCGGGTGAAGTAGTTGTATATTTTTTGTTCCCGAGCGCGCAACACAGAAAAATACGGTATCACAAACGACGACGGCATATCCAGGTCGCAGAATAATAACATATTTATAAAATTAAATAGATATAAATAGTGTTGTACATACTAGTCATATTACAGTAGAACAGTACACGGTAATTTTATGTCCCGCAAAATTCAACAATTTTCATTTTTAGTTTATATAAATGTTAAGTAATATATGAATATTACTTTGCCGCCGGCTTGTGGTCGAACCGCGAATTAAAGTGACGCTGGCGTACATCAAACATCACATTATTTTATAAAACTGGGAAAGTCTCTCTGCTGATTATTGAATATCCATCGGAAATTTAATAAGGAGATTTTAAAATTTAAATATTCTCGAATAGCTTAAAGTATACCTAACCAATGCACTCAAAATGAATACATAAGATATTAATTATTACTTTCGTGCTCGACAGTATTCAGAGAAAAGATTTAGGAACTTTGAATTTTACAAATTATGGTTGGTTAGTGGTATACGGTAAATGTGATGCATTAGGCACTGAATATCTTTATGTTAAATCTAAAAAGTAGTAATCACATTTATTTACAATAAGATTTTTATTAAATAACTCATAAAAAAATATGCTTGTACTACGAATATTTAAACACCACCTTTATCAATTATTAAATTAAAATAATAGGTACTTTATATATTGTTGTAATTTATATTTGAAAATTATAAACTATTTTGGTTATTGATATACCTCATTTCATTATCTTAATGATCAAATCTTAAACACGGACCTCTTTGATATAAAAATTTGTAATATAATAGCTATCTATGGTTTTATCATATTGACGTAGTATAAATTATAATGCAATCCGTGGCGATTGTCTAAGTAGTTGCAAAAGCGTTATCGATCTAAAATTTCAGTTAGCAAAGCAAAACTTAAGTTCAGTCATACGTATCTGATTTATTCCGCAGTGCACAAACAATAATCAGGGATTCCGCCGAAGCCCGAAAGCGTCGATGTTTAAAGTAATTCATTTTGGTTTCATATTTTTTTGGTGGTTGAATTTACTTTTTATACTTCAAATGAAAATTCAATTTCATGAAAAATAAGCTACCCCTATGTAGAGTGTAGACACATTTTTTATTTTTGAGAGTAAATGCATTCAACACGAGAGATCGAGTATTATACAAACGCCACTCGTCGTCATCGTTTTTCTGTTCCCTAATCGTAGGGTAATTTAAAGTTATTTCAGTGTTAACCCTTAAACTTCTTTAAGATTTCGAGCGGAGTCTATTGATTTTACAATTTATTTTTAAAATTTTTTTTGTTTTTTTCTTTAAGTTATTTTGGGAGAGTAAAAGTGCTTCGATTTTCTTCAACAGCATCTTTTCTGTTAGAAATGTAAATAGTATTGGTAGTTCGAGGGGTCCAAATAAAAAAATTCTGTATGGTTTTTAAAAGCGGCAGGAAAAACAAACAAAAAATTAAGGAAAAAAGTGAATTTTTACAGAAACCCGGTTTCGACCAAATCAATTTTGGTTTTTGATGTAACTCTCAAAAAAAAAAAAATACCGTGGATACATATATATACATTTTTACTGAATATTTATAATGGCGTTTTCTATAAAGCATACAATTTTGACAACACATTTTTATAAGCGTTTGAATTTTGAATTTTGACAAAAATTATTATAAGTCACAAAAATGTGGAAAATATTTTGAGTTAGAAATTCATAGGTTAGATACTCTAGGTTTTACTCGTGTAATATCTAAGTTTTTAAAACTTAACACAAGATTCCTTATAAGTGTGTCTACCTTTATCTAAAAAAAAAAAATTCCACCGGAAAGTCAAATTAAAATTTTATGAGCATTTGAAGTTGACATTTTGACAACATTGAATATTCACTCCATTTCTCATATAGTGATTTTTACTTATTTTTTTGTAACTGGAAATCCAATAATTGCAGATGTTTGAAATTCACACCATTTGTTTATATTCTAAATTCATATACTTTTGATGTACTCGTTTTAAGCTGTGTATAAACAATTTGAATTTTGAATTTTTTTAGTTTATTTAGTTTTGTTTTTATAAATTGTTAATAAAATTGTATTTTTTGGTCAAAAAAGCTTGAAAATTCAATAAAATGCTCTTGATAGATATTTACAATATTAGTTGAAAAATATTTAAAATGCATAGGCACGAATTTTTTAACGTGAGAAATATGACTTTTGTTAGGAATAAAACTTATACGTTCTTGACTAAAATAGTTAAAACACAAATTAACACATAATAACTACATATAGGTAAGATAAAAGCTAAACCTTAAAGAGATTATTTTAGCTATATAATATCTGTGATTTCTAATAACAAATAGCTCATACATATATTATTGAACATTTTACTATATAGGCTGCGTTTTTTTCAGAGATGCTATTCGCCAGGGAAAATTTGCCAATTTTGAATACAATGTCATATTATGCAGTGTGAAATGTGTTGACGTGAGTGTTTCAAAGACTTAGTTGTATAGCAGAAAACATGTGGTATGTACTTTTATTTTTCAGTAGATTGTATTTAATATAATTTAATATATTTAATATTTAAGTTAGTTAAATGATCAGAGTTTTATTGACCCCAATTTTTCAATTTAATTGTATTACAACTACTGGTATAACGATATTCCGGCTATCAATAATATTATGATAAAAAATATGAAATTTATTTTATTTTTTGTTTTAAATTTTTTTTTGTAATATTTAAATATTTTCTCCGATGATCAGGTACGATGACCTGTAGGATCTATAGAGACTGTGTGTGAGATAGAGAAAGAAGGGTAGTGAGATGGAAAAATAGAGGAGTAGAGAGAGAGAGAGAGAGAGAGAGAGTGTTTTAGTGAGAGTTAGAGAGACTTGTAGGGAGGGAGAAAGGTGAGCGAGTGAGACTTTTAGGGAAAGAGAATAGGAAGTATGGAGGTAGAATAATTAGGTTAACAATGTCGAATACGTAGGAATAGTTCTTGGATTGCAAAGGAAACTAGACCAATTAGCTGAAAACTACCTAGTGACAGGTTGAAAACCTTGACTTATGGGATAGAATAAAAAGATCGGTAGAGGATGTCAGAGCACTATTTGTTTGCTCTCTGTATCCCACGCACAACAATGCAATTAATGTATGTTTAACAGAACCAACCATATATTGTTACTTAAATAATGGTTGGTTCTGCTAAACATAAATTT